CTTGGGCTAACTCAATCACGAACTCCACTTCTCTATCAGGTGGCAGTCCCGGCAATTCCCGGGGAAAGACATTGGGAAAATTGCACATCACGGCTATGTCTTCTAGCCTTGGCTCTCCAGCCGTCGAGTCAACTACGGATGCCAGAAATCCTTGGCACCCTTCATCTAGCAGCTTTGTTACCTCGAGCGACGAAATCCAAGGGATCGAGGTTCCTCCTCGGTTTCCCACAAACTCGAATCTAGGATGTCCAACCGGATTAAATTGGATCACCCTGCTACTACAGTCCATAACAGCTCTCTGTTTGACTAGCCAATCCATCCCCACAATCACGTCAAAGTCATGCATGGTTAAAACTGCCAAATCTATCCTTTCTTCCCTATCGCCAATCATTATCTTACAATCAGGACATCCAAGCGCAATAAGCACTTTATCATTCAGCGGAGTAGTCACACACATCATAACGTCAAGTGGTTTTGGCTCAATCCCAGATAATTTAACGAACTGCTCAGATATAAACAAATGCGACGTCTCCGAATCAAACAAAGTATATGCAGCATGATCACAAAGAGAGACCATACCTATGACCACGCCAAGCACGTCCTCAGCTTCCCTCCTTGCCATTGCATACACTCGTCCTTGGGCCGGCGGCCTATTCTGATTGGCCGGCTGGATATCTCCAAATTGATTTCCATTCCGGGGTGGCGGTGGCAGTAGTGTAGGTGACCTGGCCTGCTTGTTGTTAGGACAGTCCCTCATCTAATGACCCCTTCCGCCACATATAAAACATGCTCTACCCCTATTTGGGCAAGGTCCATTTCCGTGTCTCCCTCCACATAGCCTACACGGGGCGTTCTAATAACGGTTTGGCTTCCTGATATTCCTCTGAACGGGAGGAACAAAACGACTATTTCCCGCCATGGGTCTTTTCCCAAATTAACGGATGTCCCTAGCCGGGGCATACCGCGATCCAGAAGCGGCAGCCCGATCCGTTTGATCTCGTTCAATTGCCTAAGCCCTTTCATAAATCTCGTGATAGCCCCTCAAGTTCAATGAGATCATCTGATTGCGGGCCCGTTTGGTTCAGCATTTGGAAGGGGCTTTCGGCCGCCGAAAGCCCCTTGGCCAAATGCTGAACCGTTTGGTTCGGCTTTTCGGATTCGAAAAGTCGAAAGCCAACATTTGAAATGCTTTGGAATGCTGAAAGCCCAAAACTCGTCCGGACCAACTTTGGGCTTTCAGCATTCAACAAATGCTGAAGCCTATTTTTCCCTTCCCAAATTGCCCTCACTCAAATTTCAATATTCCGATTTAGCCCCTGTTACTGTTCATCTTCCTCACCGCGAGGGTGGCCGGCGAGGGCGGATCTGGCCGGCGAAGGGCCGGCGAGGGGCCGGTGAGGGCGGATTTGGACGGCGAAGGGCCGGCGAGGGGCCGGCGAGGTCGCTCGACCCAAGCGACCGACCAGGTGCCGTCACCTGGGTCGCGCGAACCCAGGCGACGGCACCTGGGTGGTCGCCCGACCCTAGGCGGCCGTTGCCTGGGTCGGGCGACCTTGCCGGCCCCTCGCCGGCCCTTCGCCGCCCAGATCCGCCCTCGCCGGTCCCTTGCCGGCCCTTCGCCGGTCCCTTGCCTGCCCTTCGCCGCCCAGATCCGCCCTCGTCGACCCTTCGCCGGCCACCCTCGTCGGTGAAGAAGATGAACAGTATAGGGCTTCGCTGCCCAGATCCGCCCTCGTCGACCCTTCGCCGGCCACCCTCGTCGGTGAAGAAGATGAACAGTATAGGGGCAAAATCGGAATATTAAAAATAAAAGTTGCCAAAGTCCTTTGCAAATTTTTTTTTACCAAACACTACTTAGGCCAAAGTAGCTTTACAATTTTTTTTTACCAAACACCACTTGCATTTTCCCAAGTGACTTTCACCTAAAGGTATTTGCATTCCCCCAAATAGCATTTGAAAAGCCGAACCAAACAGGCCCTGCAAAGGTCCAGCTTCAGCCCATCTCGGAACCTCCTGGCTTTGTCCATTGGGTCCTCTACCATTCTGGAGGCAAATTTAGACAGCTTTGCAAACTCGACTTCATACTGATCTGCCGACCTCTGACCCTGACGAAGTCTCATGAATTCAGCCAATTTCTATTCTCGGGCACCTTCTGAGAAATACTTGCCATTGAAGGTCTCAGTAAAAACAATCCAATTCGGGGCAGTACCAGCGGGGAACACTTGACCTCTGGTGGCTCTCCACCAATCGCTTGCATTTTCCTGAAGCTGGTAGACTGCTAGGGTTACTTTCTCCTCTTCAGTGCATCCCAGCACCTCAAAAGCTTTCTCCAGCTCTTCTACCCATCTTGGTGCAGCCTCAGAATCGCCTCTCCCATCAAACTTCGGGGGTTTCAACCTCAGAAACTGTTCGACTAGCTTGGACATTAGCCTGATCGCATTTACTCGCACTGGATCAGGATTTCCACCAATCACATTATTCCCCTAACCTCCATTATTCCCAATAATCTCGCTGGCAGCTGTAGCGGCGACAATGGTACTTCTTTCCCTCGTCTGTCACCCGATAATAATCCCGCTTCCTCAAGCGCCCTCCAGATTTCATCCACCCTGGGATCCTCCATAACTCTAGCTTGTGGGGCTACACAACCTCGACCTCGACCTTTACCTTGACCTCTACCTCGACCTTGGCAGCTCATCTTACCGGTACTCACAAATGCTCACCTTCTATAATTCCACGCAGGAATTAGAAACCTAGGCCAACTATACTAGTCTAAAGCCCTAGGCAGTGAATCACAGCAACAATTCACTAAGCAGGCAGTCAATTACATATAGCACTCAATCTCAGTCAGCATGATTTACGCACTTACCTCAAGTCCTGATGCACCTGCACCTCACATATTATTGCATAAAATCACTTAGCAACCACAATCACACAGTCTGGGGTACGCATGGCACACGATTCTCCCTAACTGGCTACCCCAAAGTCATCGCTCCCTATCACTCCAAGCTTGGACCAACTTGGATCAAGCTGACCTTGCTCTGATACCAAATCAACGGGGATGTCACGCTTCGAACCCCAACGGGCTTGCGACACTCCTTTGATGGCCGTATTGAACGCGACGTCCCAGGACACGTTGCTGACCCAAACGAAGCACGCGAAAACAAATGCAAGCGGAAGCGGAAATTAAACATCCCAGACAATAAACAATGACAACAAGGTAGTACTTGAAGAAAACAATAGACCCATAACATTAGCTTGAGACCATAAAATTCATATATTAGGCTTCTAGGGTTAGTATCCACCTTCGTCATCAAAAAGGGACAGGTGACCGGGTAGACTACGGAATACACAAAAAGGGCCCTACCAAAAAGCTCCTAGGCTCTAGCACCCAAATCCTGCTATGGTGCCTAATCTGAATCAGACCCTGAAGGCTCCGACTTCGTGTCCGAGTCGGTCTCGATCGGCTCCTCCTCGTGCTCGGACACCATAGGCTCTTCCTCGTGCTTGGACACCATAGGCTCTTGCTCAGGCTCGAACTCGAGCTCTGGTTCTTCTAATTCTTCCTCGATCTTGGGCTATATGGGCTCCTCCTCGGGCTCGGGTTCGGACTCCTCAAACTCCTTTTCAAGCTCAAGGTCTGCAGGGGTTACAGGTTCAGGTTCGGGCTCCGGTTCAGGACTAGGGTTTACCGGGGCATCTCCGACGTCCAAAACCTCATCATCAGGGGCAAGGATAGTTGAGGGGTCCTACTCACCTCCCTCATTAAACGGGACATCAAAATGCCGGAGCAGTCCATAGACTCCGCATAAATCCCGATAACAGTATACATGGTATGTATTGGGCTACAACTCCAGTTTACCCACATCTACCCACACCACCGTAGTATGCTTAACATAGGTCTCCCTGTTCTCTACGAGGTACTCCACCGCCGAGTGCTCAGAATGCCTCGGGATCCCAAAATGTTCATGCGGATCACTCATGGTCGGGGTCGAGGGTCTGAAATGGTTTGCATTACAACAATGAGAATAAATCTCAATAAGCAGACAATCTATACCCCACCTAAGCCAATGCGTACCTAGACAAGTCTAACATGCACTCTAACCACTAATATGACAAACTCGCCAATACACACTTACCTCGCCACGATTCACACGCCAACTCTGTACATTAGTCAAATCACATGAATATCATAATAATTCATGAACACATTGCCATCATCGGGGCGGCATATACACGTATATTCACTCAATTCAATCACACTTATTTCGCATTCGTGACCGAACAACTTTCCATGACTCGCGTCAACACGCCTCAGGTCAGCCCTCCGATCAATCCGGGCTCTGTCCCCTCACTGGACATTTCACACTTTCTCACGACCCGCGTAAACACGCCTCAGGTCAGCCCTCCGATCAATCCGAGCTCAGTCCCGCGTAACCACGCCTCAGGACATTTCTCTCGACCCACGTGACCACGCTTAAAGGTCATTTCTTGCCTTTCTAGCCACACCTGCGTAACCACTCCTCAGGTTGGCAGCCCTTCAATCAATCCGGGCTTAGTTTCGCATAACCACGCCTCAGGACATTCCTCATGCACATGCACCACAACACAATTCGCCATTCTAACACGCCGTACAATTCCCATTGAAATCACAAATTCACCACACTAGCCCACCAATCTAACACTCAAGTCGGTCCAATCAAACGTCAATTTCATCCACAAATGCCACGACAATCCGGTCATCGCACCTACATAAATCAGCCACTAATTATGCTACATAATCACCACAATTTAATCTACCAATTAACCACATTCACATATTGATCCTAATCCAAGCTTAGCCACTAAATCGGTACTAATCACATCCTAAACAAGTCTAAATGATACCCATTATAATAGATAGGGTTTAGGAAGTCATTTACCTAAATTTGGCCTGGGAAAAATCGACACGGACCCAAAATGGCCCGGGTGAACAGTGGCGACTCAGCGTGGGCGAGAGCGCGATGAGCACGGTGGCCGGCAGGGCTCTCGGCCACGGCCGGGGTGCTCGGCACGGCGCTCAGCCACGGGCGGGCAATGGCCTGGGTGACTCGGTCGCGGGCAAGGGCAGCGGGCAAGCGGCAGGGACGTGCGGGCCATGGGGCTGGGTGGCCGGCCCAGGCGACTTCGGCCACGGCACAGGCGATCCGGCCCACGACTGGGTGAGCGGGCGGCGCGCGGGCAATGGGCTCGGCCACGGCCAGGCAACGGTGGCTGGGCGTGCTAGGCGAGTGGCCTGGTTGGCCGGCGATCTGGCTGACCGGCGAGCTGGCTGGGCGGCACGACGAGCGGCGGCGGCGGCGACGGTGTGGAGGGGAGGGGGAGGGAGAAAAAGGCTGAGGCAGTGATGGCGAGAGAGAGGGGGAGCTGGGGGCTGAGGAGGCGAACCGGAGGCGGTCGGGGTGGCACGGCGGTGTCGCAGGCTGCAAGGGGCGAGGCCGGACGAGGTGGCCGGCGATTTGGCTGAGCCTGGCCGCGACGGACGCGGCGGCGACGGGCTCGGCCCGGTGAGCTGCGAGCAAGTGGTAGGCTCGCGGCGACGAGCTGCTAGGCGAGCGAGCCGGCAATGGCGACGGCGTCCAGTGGCTGGGCGAGCGATGGAGGTGGCGGTGGTGGCTGGTCGGGCGAGCAAAAGAAGAGGAGCATAGGCAGTGTCGCGGTGGAAAAGAAGAAGAAGAAGAGAAGAAGGAGAAAGAAGAAAGAAAAAGGAAGAGAGAGGGAGGGAGGGGACGTGCATGGGGAAAGAGGAGAACGGACGTGCGCAGTGGGGAAGGGACGCGGTAGAGAGAGAGAGAGAGAGGGGGAACAAAAGTCAACGCACTCAAGTGCAATCCGACGGTCCTCGTTCAAATTCGAAAATGATCTAACAGTCCACGAAAGTCCTAATTAATAAATTAGGAAAAGGCCAAAAGATATTAATTAAAACACACTACGAGGGAGGTCTACTAGTCCAAATCCACACCCGGTCAAAATTTCACTTTTCACTTATCCCAGACAATATCGACGCTGGCCGCAATAATATCGATACCGTCCAATTAAATTCGTCACGAAACTCTCAAAAATTCGACATCAAAGTTCGGGCTCTAAATAACGATCAAATTCGATCGAGTGCGATTCTAACGAAATCTCTAATTTAAAAATAACCCAAGAGTGATTAGTACCGGGTGAGATTTTATTATAAGCGCACTGACGAAATACACGTTTTATAAATCTCAAAAATGGGTCGAAATTTGGAATGCCACAGAGAGATTACGGTTTGTTTTTTGTTTTTTGGAAATCTAATTGCCCCTCATTCTTCGAGAATTAAAGAGATCATTTTAAAGTTTGAATTTGTTAATTTAAAATTTGGGTTCTTCTACTACATTTTTTTTATTTACTTATTGTTTATTACGTTTTACTCTTTTTTTATTAATTTCTTTTATTTTTTAATTCCTTTCCATTCTATTAAATAATAAATTTTACAGATATACCTAAAATATGTAATCAGTATAAATACTAAATATATATACAACATATATTATAGAATAGAAAGAAAGTCAACTATATAAATAAAAATAGGAAAAGATAAAAACGAAAATTGGTTTTTTTTTTGGTAATTTGAGTTTTCTATTTTTACATTAGAATTTCAATACTATTTATGTTTAATTATTACCTTAATTATTATTCATTTAAGAAGTTTGTTATTCGAGAAAAATAGCTTTGATACTATAAATATAAGAAATCTTATCCACTATATCCCACTTCTCCAATGAGATATTTTTATCCAAATTATATCCCTCTTGACAGGAACCAAACACAATTTATCATATCCTGACTTTTATCTTATCTACCAAACATAACATTAAGATTTTATCTATCTCGAAATCAAAAATCTTATTGCCACTCAAACTATATTCGCATCACGCATCAAATCTTAAGATCATTCGCGTCCTTTCTCCACCTCTCTCCTGCTCCCGAGTGTGGTTTGGCAGCGGAAATGAGACCCGAGGCCGGAGGGCTAAAGGGAGTCGTCAGCGGCGAAGGAGGAGAAGTTGATGGCGGCGGTTTACTCGAGGACGCAGAGGTCCTTGGTCTAGGAAACAAGGTCTTCCGCCGCGGAGCCGTCGGTGTCGGAAAGGTTGGAGAAATCAGCCATGGCTTTCTTCTTCTTCTTCTTCTGGGTTTGTGATGTTTCGTCGCGATTTCTGACTTGTGATTTGGGGCTGTGGGAGGGTATTTGTTAGGTACTTGCAGAGATTTTTCACACTAGCTCAGAATCGTGCTCCACCGCCGAGCTTCCCGTCGACTGAGTCTCGATCCAAGCGATCGTGGCGTCGCAGGCTTGGAGCTCGAAGAAGATGCGCGGGGCGGCAGATGATGACAGATATGATGGGAAAATGACGAAATTATGCTGGGAAATGGAGGGGGTGGAAATAGCTGTCCCTAATCTAAAAATTCTAGTGTAGGCTTTCAACCAAACATGAAAAATCAAGAAATCGGGATTCCATCCCTTAAGTAATCCGAAGCAGCAAATGAACAAATTAATTGGACCAAATTGGTGTCCATGCCATAGTTCATTTGAATTAATTAATGCAAGGATGACGATAAACATGTTAAAGTTTATTAGGGATCTAATTGGACCAACCGAAAGTTTTCGAAAGACATTGCACATCAATCAAAAGTGATTTAAATGAACTAATTGAAAATTCAAGTATGGCAATACACATCGATAAAAGTTCACAAACTGCTAGTACCAATTGACAGGAGCTGTTGACACGGAATTTGAGTCTGGAGAATTCCGATTATGCAAGTCAATTAACTACATAACTTAATTACCGTGTTGGTGTTGGTCCAATATATGAAAAGGCAAAGAGTTTTATTTCGTAAATGAGTATCTGTATTTGACCGAGAGATGCTAGGGCCCTTCACGTTTTTGGTATAATTATAGATGGGTTGTTTTCTGTCTTTCATGCCTTTATATACTCTGCAAGTGTAATATTCAAAATTTAACATCAAGTGGCACGTCGACGTTTATTTGAGGTCTTACGTGGGTATAATGATAAGTGCCTGAATACGTAATTGAATGAGATAGAAATTATTCTTTATCAACGTAGGACCTAAGTAAACTCGTTTGGAAATTGCATAAGTGGCACATCTTCAACAACGAGGAGTTATGAAATATGTATTTACCTTCATGAAGCGAACATGCAGATGGCGATAATGAGTGCGGAGCCTAAGAGGGATGATGCTGAAACCAGCTCCAGCTTTTGACAGCTTTGACAACAATGAAAATGGTAAAGATACACATACAGTCTGGTTAATCTTCTCATTACGCAAGATAATGAAATGGCCTTAAGTAAACGTCAATTAACAATGGTTCAAAGATGCTAATTTGACGTTTAAAGAAGCGAGCATGGACTTCGTGTAAGAAATATAATATCTGTCCAGTTTTACTAATTTAATGGCTCCAGAAGTTTCAATGATCAACTTATGTTATTGAATCTGGAAATTAGGTAGATCCAATTATCATATGGAATTGAACCAATTATAAATTCTGGAATGGTATTGCACATTAGTCAAAAGTGATTTAATTGAACTAATTAAAAATTCAAGTATGACACTACACTTTGATAAAATTCACAGACAACTAGTATCATTATCTCTTCCGGAAGCAAAAATTACAAGTTCTTTACATCTCAATTAAAAGAAGGCAATAGATGTCGATCTAATCCATTTTGCAAATTCACTTCCTGATTACTCTGCAAAAATTTCGAAATAATTGTGAAATGAGATCTCCCCATAAGCCTTCCTATAATTATTTCTGGTGCCACGACTCCAAACAATAAACATCGCGCTATTCCTGTAATGTTTTAAGAGAAGCTGGCTCTGCAGTGAAAATCATAGATCATATGATTGGGATGAGAAAGAACTAAGAAGATATTAAAGGCGATTGTCATCATTATAATAAACCAAACAAAAAATAACACATGAAAAGTAAATTTAAAACATACCATCCCCTGTGAGTGCTCCAAATTTCCTAATACTGAGATTGTGAAGTTGCTCTAAGCTGACCGTAGAGAGTGGCATTTCAAATGGTATTTGATGGAGAAGTTCGCGCGAGACTTGTCCCGTGCTCGGTCGAAGCCGTGGATCGGCTTGCAAGCACGCGAACGCAAGCTTGGCAATTAAGACTACGTCTTGCGCATCTCGAAGGCGAAGTCTAGAAGGTGAGAGACGTTGATCTAGCACATCCTTCAACATCATCGGCGACTTAGTTTTGGCAGACACTGAACATTCTCGAGAGACATGATCTCCTAGATGCTTTCCCATGATTATCTCTAATGCGACAACCCCAAAGCTATACACGTCGCACTTTTCGGTAGGAATTGTAGAATAAGCTAGCTCTGCAAGTGGAGAAATCATATTTTTTTATAACCTTGATCACAAGCTATATTTTAGTTGACAACATTGCTTCCCATATCATTACGATTACGAGTATAAATTTCTATTTGATTTACACCTACATTGAGCATGGGAGTCTATGCCGAAGTTCAAATGATTTTGTTTAACGTTTAAAGTACGAGCATCATTTAGGTAACATGAACTTCATATTCTAGAAATGGATCAATTATAATATTTTTTCATCACTTGCCAATTTTTCTTTATTAGGGAAATCCGAAAGCTTTCTGATCGACACTAAACTTGAAAACTCTAAATTAGTAAACTAATTTCCATAAAAAAAATATTAAACAATTAAAGAACCTAGTGAAAGTTCAATTATAGAAGGATGTTTGACATTAAATGTCCATTGAAATTGAAAAGAGATTATGAAGTACCTGGAGCAATATACCCGATGGTGCCAGCAATAATAGTCCAATTTGATGAATCTGGCCTCAACAGCCTTGCAGTGCCAAAATCAGAAACATGAGCCTCATAATCATGATCCAATAGAATGTTGTTATTAGTCAAGTCTCGATGAATCAATGGAGGTGAACATTCGTGATGCATATAGGACAATGCATCCGCAACTCCTCGGACCGCATTTACCCTCTTGTCCCATTGAAATTCTTTTGCTCTTTCATCATCGTTCAAAATTGTTCTCAAGCTTCCTCTTTCAATGTATTCATACACCAAAAAATAACGTTGAACATGAGAGCAAAATCCATAAAATTTCACAATGTTACGATGGCGTAAGTTTGTTAAGGCTTGAATTTCCCTTTCAAATGGTATCAAATCAATAATCTCACTATCGTCCCGGAATGAGGAGATTTGCTTAACAGCAACCATTTGACCTTTTGATATTTCAGCTTTAAAAACGATTCCATATGCTCCTTCACCACATAGTACTTGGAGTCAAATCCTTCCGTGG